GACGTCATATGTTACATTGGCTATTTTCAAATTCGAGCATGAGAACGTGTTTAAGACTTTTCGTGAAACCAGGGCGTGGTATTCTGATTATGTATTGTACCTACTATTTAGACATGTTTCATTGGTGCTTTTTTACATATTGGAAAGTTTTATTTATCTATTTCTATGACGTTTAAGGCAGGTTTTACTGTTTAATACGGATAAGCCAGTTTTCTTCATATTTTTTTGTTATGTTTTTCTTAGTTATTTTTTTTCATAAAGTTTAAAAATCCTTCTCACTGTCGATTTGGATATGTTTCTCTGTATGGAACGGTTGAATGGCTATCACTTTCAGCTCTACAATTCAATCAACAGCCAAGTGTGTGCTGTATATTCTGTTTCCGTATTTGATTTGTGGACTTACATTAAATGAACCCTGAAAAAAATAAGAAAAGATCAACTAACGTTAAGATAAGCCTATGAACTAAAAAAGTTTGCCTTTGTTTAAATCCATACGTTTATCAGAAAATTAAAGCTGATGATTGTCAAGATTTAAAAATGTGTTTTGTAAGTATAACTAGTTAATATAATTGGGATATTATTTTTCAATAATATATCATTGAACTTTGTTTATTACTACTTATACAAACGCTACTAGATTGTGAGGGTAATCATTAAGTGTACTGGTAATGTAGATATCTTCGCCAGGCGGTGATGATGAGAAGGAAATCATTAAGTGTACGGGTAATGTAGATATCTTAGCCAGTCGGTGATGATGGGAAGGTAATCATTAATTGTACTGGTAATGTAGATATATTCGCCAGTCGGTGATGATGAGATGGTAATCATTAAGTGAACTGGGAATGTAGATATCCTCGTCAGGCGGTGATGATGAGAAGTTTATCATTAAGTGAATTTGTAATGTAAATATCTTCGCTAGTCGGTGATGATGATAAGGTAATCATTAAGTGTAATGGTAATGTAGATATCTTCGCCAGTCGGTGATGATGAGAAGGTAATCATTAAGTGAACTGGTAATGTAGATATCCTCGTCAGTCGGTGATGATGAGAAGGTTATCATTAAGTGAATTGGTAATGTAAATATCTTCGCCAGTCGGTGATGATGAGAGGGTAATCATTAAGTGTACTGGTAATGTAGATATCTTCACCAGTCGGTGATGATGAGAAGGTAATCTTTACGTGTACTGGTAATGTAGATATCTTCGCTAGTCGGTGATGATGAGAAGGTAATCATTAAGTGTACTGGTAATGTAGATATCTTCGCTCGTCGGTGATGAGGATATGGTAATCATTACGTGTACTGGTAATGTAGATATCTTCGCCAGTCGGTGATGATGAGAAGGTAATCGTTAATTGTACTGGTTATGCAGATATCTTCGCCAGTCGGTGATGATGAGAAGGTAATCATTAAGTGGACTGGTAATGTAGATATCTTCGCTCGTCGGTGATGAGGATATGGTAATCATTACGTGTACTGGTAATGTAGAAATCTTCGCCAGTCGGTGATGATAAGAAGGTAATCATTCAATGTACTGGTAATGTAGATATCTTCGCCAGTCGGTGATGATGATATGGTAATCATTACGTGTACTGGTAATGTAGATATCTTCGCCAGTCGGTGATGATAAGAAGGTAATCATTTAATGTACTGGTAATGTAGATATCTTCGCCAGTCGGTGATGATGAGAAGGTGATCATTAAGTGTACTGGTATTGTAGATATCTTCGCCAGTAGGTGATGATGAGAAGGTAATCATCAAGTGTGCTGGTAATGGAGATATCTTCGCCAGTCGGCGATGATGAGAAGGTAATCGTTAATTGTACTGGTTATGCAGATATCTTCGCCAGTCGGCGATGATGAGAAGGTAATCGTTAATTGTACTGGTAATGTAGATATCTTCGCCAGTCGGTGATGATGAGAAGGTAATCATTAAGTGTACTGGTATTGTAGATATCTTTGCCAGTCGGTGATGATGAGAAGGTAATCATTACGTGTACTGGTAATGTAGATATCTTCGCCGTAAATATCTTCGCCAGTCGGTGATGATGATATGGTAATCATTAAGTGTACTGGTAATGTAGATATTCGCCAGTCGGTGATGATGAGAAGGTGATCATTAAGTGTACTGGTAATGTAGATATCTGCGCTAGTCGGTGATGATGAGAAGGTAATCATAAAGTGTACTGGTGATGTAGATATCTTCGCCAGTAGGTGATGATGAGAAGGTAATGATTAAGTGTACTGGTAATGTAGATATTCGCCAGTCGGTGATGATGAGAAGGTGATCATTAAGTGTACTGGTAATGTAGATATCCTCGTCAGTCGGTGATGATGAGAAGGTAATCATTAAGTGTAATGGTAATGTAGATATCTACGCTAGTCGGTGATGATGAGAAGGTTTACGTGTACTGGTAATGTAGATATCTTCTCTAGTCGGTGATGATAAGAAGGTAATCATTAAGTGTACTGGTAATGTAGATATCCTCGTCAGTCGGTGATGATGAGAAGGTAATGATTAAGTGTACTGGTAATGTAGATATCTGCGCTAGTCGGTGATGATGAGAAGGTGATCATTAAGTGTACTGGTAATGTAGATATTCGCCAGTCGGTGATGATGAGAAGGTAATGATTAAGTGTACTGGTAATGTAGATATTCGCCAGTCGGTGATGATGAGAAGGTGATCATTAAGTGTACTGGTAATGTAGATATCTGCGCTAGTCGGTGATGATGAGAAGGTTTACGTGTACTGGTAATGTAGATATCTTCTCCAGTAGGTGATGATGAGAAGGTAATCATTAAGTGTAATGGTAATGTAGATATCTACGCTAGTCGGTGATGATGAGAAGGTGATCATTAAGTGTACTGGTAATGTAGATATCTTCGCCAGTCGGTGATGATGAGAAGGTAATCATAAAGTGTACTGGTAATGTAGATATCTTCGCCAGTAGGTGATGATGAGAAGGTAATCATTAAGTGTACTGGAAATGTAGATATCTTCGCCAGTAGGTGATGATGAGAAGGTAATCATTAAGTGTACTGGAAATGTAGATATCTTCGCCAGTAGGTGATGATGAGAAGGTAATCATTAAGTGTACCGGTAATGTAGATATCTTCGCCAGTCGGTGATGATGATATGGTAATCATTAAGTGTACTGGTAATGTAGATATCTTCGCCAGTAGGTGATGATGAGAAGGTAATCATTAAGTGTACTGGAAATGTAGATATTTTCGCCAGTAGGTGATGATGAGAAGGTAATCATTAAGTGTACCGGTAATGTAGATATCTTCGCCAGTCGGTGATGATAAGAAGGTAATCATTAAGTGTACTGGTAATGTAGATATCCTCGTCAGTCGGTGATGATGAGAAGGTAATCATTAAGTATACTGGTAATGTAGATATCTTCGCCAGTCGGTGATGATGATATGGTAATCATTAAGTGTACTGGTAATGTAGATATCTGCGCTAGTCGGTGATGATGAGAAGGTAATCATTAAGTGTACCGGTAATGTAGATATCTTCGCCAGTCGGTGATGATGATATGGTAATCATTAAGTGTACTGGTAATGTAGATATCCTCGTCAGTCGGTGATGATGAGAAGGTAATCATTAAGTGTACCGGTAATGTAGATATCTTCGCCAGTCGGTGATGATAAGAAGGTAATCATTAAGTGTACTGGTAATGTAGATATCCTCGTCAGTCGGTGATGATGAGAAGGTAATCATTAAGTGTACCGGTAATGTAGATATCTTCGCCAGTCGGTGATGATAAGAAGGTAATCATTAAGTGTACTGGTAATGTAGATATCCTCGTCAGTCGGTGATGATGAGAAGGTAATCATTAAGTGTACTGGTAATGTAGATATCTTCGCCAGTCGGTGATGATGAGAAGGTAATAATAAAGTGTACTGGTAATGTAGATATCTTTGCCAGTGGGTGATGATGAGAAGGTAATCATTAAGTGTACTGGTAATGTAGATATCTTCGCCAGTCGGTGATGATGAGAAGGTAATCATTAAGTGTACTGGTAATGTAGATATCTTCGCCAGTCGGTGATGAATAGCTTTTATTAAATATTCGATTGGATATTACCAATTGTTTGTATATCATTGTACAGACCAATTAGTCTTTAAATGATTTCTGTTGTTACATTCTTCAATTATTGTCATTTTAGTTGTACAAACCCCCTAAATTGATTATATAATATACTTCTCGTTTTTATTGTTTTGCTGGTAATTGTGTTTCATTTTGTTTTTGTTTTTCGTGTTAACTGCTTTTCTTCTTTTCGCTAAAATAACAAGAATCCACGTTATCAAATATCTAACTTCTTACGTCACAAAGACTCCTTAGTAGTAGTGAATATTTCACTTCATACTAACGTCAAACAATGCGCTATGACTAACAGCATGGACCATCGCTTTACTGATTAGTCATCGCCGAGTTGTTATGATCACCTAATTCTTACTTGGCATCCTGGTGGGTTCATTATTCCAGACTGATTCAAATGTCCATTAGACATTTTCAGCACATTGCTGCCCTACCCTGTTGTTCGGGATGATGGTATTCAGAGTTAACATTTAGTTATTCTATGACTTCGAAATTAGGCAACAGTTAATATTATACTTGTGGCTTATTAAATAGGGAAACATCATTTCGATATTGTTGTGTGGAACTCATAATAATAAATTAAAAAAAAAATCAAATTAATCGTCGAGAAATTATTATTATTATTTTTTTGTAATAATATATATGTTTCCTCTGTTGTTTCTGTATTTTCCTGAATCAATCAATACCAATTTTAGAGCATGTTTCTCGTCAATTTCATAATTAAATGTTACTTTAGATGTGATGATCAATTAATCTTTGCTTAATTCTTATGTATGGATATACTAGTACAGTAGTAAGATAGTGATATATCAAACGTTATGAGGGTCTAAGGGATTAACCAGCGATGTCACGTGACTGGTAAAACAACTAGTGTGCGCCTTCTTTTTGATACAGTACGTTACGGATCTCCCCTAATCGTCCTAGGTTGAGGAGGGAATGGTACGCAGATTCCGGCTGCTCTCCTCAGACGATGAAACTCGATATGTCTGCATTGTTTGCTATAGGGGAATTGGCACATAGGGTTTGAAACAGCACTCTCCATGCTACTCCCATCAAGTCTCACGGTACTACCGTCTCTACCATTGATGCCTCACAACTTACCACGGCAGATCAAGTGGGGATAACGTCTATGTAACCACAAGTGTAGAACTTGTATGGAGTTTATAACTTAACGTTTCCCACAGGATCTCCCGCGGATCGCCCCACTTAAAGCAGTGAGTCTCTGTGTTCAGACAATACAAGATGAGCCGCTACAGTCTACAGTGGTTTAATTAGTTGTGACTGTAGCCTGGCGTGTACAGACCGTAGTGACCTAAATCTCGGGATTTATCGTGTTAAAAAGCTTGGTGCAGTAGAACTTGTAGACAACTCTTGGAAATACAACGACGGCTTTAATTATTCTCCCATCCACAAACACTCAGTGAGAGACGATTTTGGATACAGAAATCCAGCTGAGGCCGTTGACCTGACATTAGATGATCTTCTGTTCAAATCGAAGGGATTTTAACTGGTCGTCTGCTACCAATTACTACGTTAGCGTAGTGTACATCCTGCCAGGCAGTCCCGTAGCTTTGTTTCCTGCTGTTGAAATTGGATGAGAATGGTTGTTGTGCACACTACTTTTGTGTATTTCTGTTCTCTTCCGGCGTAGAAAAAAACTTTTGACAGAGGTTTTGGCTGGATCATCTACAACTCGTCTTCAGAGATACGGGGCGAGTTTTATAGACGGTATATCTTATGACGGGGCCACAACATGGAATCGTGAACATGAGTTGTGGGTGTTTGTTATTCACAAATAAGAGAAATGAATTTAAGTTTTCAAACTTTAAACAGAGATGATATCGCCATTTTGTTATACTTTCAGCTGACAGATTATCTTCGGGTGCCGGGGATTACTACTCGAGAGAAAGTTTTCCATGATGGAACTACTGTGCATGTGGAAACACCACGTAAGCTGTCTTTAATTTGTGTAGTATGATAAACTCAAATTATAATAATGAAATAAGGCGAGGGTATATCTGTGATATACATGGCGTGATGCTGGCTCGTGTGCTGCGTCAGTGCGGAAAAGTTATATTTAGAATGATGGTTCGGTGAATAGAGAAGGGATCATCGCTGCCGCGGATTATACAGCCGTAGGGTATGCGTTGTGTTCGCACAAAACACTGTAGCCTCGCGTTCCTGTTGTTTCCATCGTATTTATAGATATGAAATAACATATCTGCTTCCCTCATCACCGGCTTGGTCTACACACTACTGTGGACGTGCAACTGTGTGTATATATAACCAAGGCAAATTGTTCATGGTGTTGGAGAGAATTGTAAAGTTATAAGCCAAACCTACAATGGAAATTGTATCATTTACTTCCATTATCACCATCAGCGAAAATTCCACGACCACAATCTTAAACGAAAAACTACAGCTAGCAGCCTAGTGTAAAGAATGGCCTATATAGCAGGATTTGAAGACGATAAATACTCAGATGGATATATCAGAATTTTATCTTTATATTATATACTAGGATCGTAGAATGTACAGAAGCTCAGTACGGCCGGGCAACTGTACACCTGTACACGCGTTCCTGACCGCTAAACCTCCAAAACCGCCGTGCTGGCTTGACCTTAAAGTTCAGAATCAGCGGGCTTCCTCGGATGAAGGAGGGTCAAAAAGTTCACCTGTGTCACAGCAGCAACAAATTAACGTCATTCCTCGGTCGTCAAAACCGGGGAAGCGCATGCGTGCTAAAATACATCGGACACGTAGCCAGTATTGTATAGAGTCCGAAGATCTTCCGGACGAAGTGGAAATGACAATGAATCTCGCGGAGACGACACCTAAGGAAATTGGTCTCCGGAAACAAATGTATGATGACAGTGTTTACATGCAAGAGACGACACGAAAGTGTCAGAACTGGCTTGATAGTCTCGAAGCGTGTGGACCACCGGAAACGGTGACGTCATCAGGGTCTGATGCCCTGTCGGAAGGTTGTGACAGCCAGGTGGACGTCGAAGTCCCTGACGACACTATGTGGTATGATGATGACCCGGATGTACGACCACCGTATAACAGTAGTACGTCAAGTTCTGACGATGAACGAACAACTGTACAAACTAAACATATTCCAAGATCTCTACAATCTACAGTTACTCCCGATAAGTCGTCGTGTTTGAAAGGCTCGAGTAAAAAATACCATTATCGAGGTATTGTTGCCGGGGATACAGGGCTGTGATATACATTTACAGTAGTATGGTGCAATGAGTTTAACCTTTTAAATGATCCGTGTGTCGTCACGTCAGCATTAATGTGGTACACAGTGATACTATGTAGTACGATGCTAGTGTTGTCTGTATGTGTACCATTATAGCAATAGCAAAGTGTCAATGGGTTTAAAATAAGAATTTACGAAACATTATGTTGTTACAAAACTCAGCTATTGTGTTCATTCTCAAACTGATTAAAATGAAATATATTGTCATGGAATTTTTATTACACAACAAAACATCTTATTTTAATTTGGATGAGTGAACACAATATATGAGGAGGTTATCATGAGAAAAGAAATTGATATGATACAATACGTTTTAAAAGCTCCCTCCACCTTGAATAAATATGGTTTTCCAGAATAAGAGTTAAGTGTATAAACATTACCCCCTTATCAAAACAGTGTGCTTTCCTCCTGAATCCTCTTTGATTGACCACAGTATCACCAGATACATTAGTGAAATAGGTTGTTAACTTAAAAGACTTTAAAATAAAGAATTTACATGCATTTTCAGAGTAATGATATTTTTTCTTGAATATCTCCATAAACTAGCTGTTTAGCTAAATGGGATGGTTTTGAATTTCAACACATGATTGATTATATAAAACATACTAGTTTGGATAGGAAGCTAACTAAGCTTAAATAAATTGCATTTAAATAGTTGGCGAAAGACCAAGTTACTTTACTGCAAGTTTAGTCATCTTGAGGGCAACATTTTGTGAGTTGGTATATATCTGTATATATATCTTAAATCGGTAATGAAGTCACCGCTCTAGATGGACCTAGATATTAGAATCTTTAAGGGGGAGTTAAATCAAGCTTTGCCTGTTGTATAATTCTGATTTGTTATCGTCATATATTTCAAATGTCTACAACTGAAGAAAAATAAATATTAACATTTTTGAAAAGCAACAAATACACATCTTAATTTGACTCTGCTAGTCGCTAGATGAAGGTAGGGTTTATAACTTTCTCTGTGAAAGTAAATAAAACATTGATCTTGTTGATAGAGTTCTTGTCACGTTCACCATAACACATACATAACAGAAATGAAAGAACGACTGGATAATAATCAAAGTTGAACCACCAAGATCAATCATTAAATTTAGTAACAATGTTCAATAATTTTACTCATTCTTAACGGGTTTCATTTATATTGAAATATTGTTGCAGGTTAAGACCTTGTGTAACGTTACATTGTTAACTCCAATTAACATGGAGACAATTGGTTAGACGGGACGTTGGTTTAGGAACTACTTTTGATAAGTAGCTGTGACTATTTATTGTGTAAACAATACATCACACCTAGCCTTTGAATTCAATCAAGTAAATGACTTTCACAGATTTGTGAGTATACGTACAATCACATGTGTGCCTATTACGTTCATCTTTGAAGCCAGCAAATATATATAATAATACTTTTAGAAGAAAATATCCGGGCTCCTGTACCCTTCTTCAGCCTCACTGAGGACACAAGCCCTGACTTATCTTACATGACTTTCGAATCAAAATGGACAAAGCATGAGCTAAACGTCTTGATTTATGCCATGTCCATTTTTAAATTTGATTCAAAAAGAACAAGGAAAGAATTAAGACTATTTTTCCTCTTTAAAAACTGAGAAGGGCAGGAGCGTGGAAAATGTATACAGAGAGTTGAATGATATTTCTATGGCATTTGTTTAGACATGTTTCCCTTTTGCAGGCTGTTCAAAGTTATGGCATACAACAATTATGTATTGCAGTTTTCATTTTTCTAAAAGCAATACTTTTGTTTTACTATTTCCAACGGAAATACAACAGAAACAAGCTATGCTATCTCTTATTTTGTTTCCGTACTTTAACAAATATAGTTTGTTTAGTTACATAAACGACTCGTCAACAAGAGAGAGAGATATCCTTCTAGCATACTACTGCATTGGGCTGTATGTCTGACCTATGTATAGTTTATTGTAGATATCACAATAAGGTATGATGAATGTAAGCTTTCCTTAAGCAGTCTGAATAGTGAATAATTAATTGAAGATGTTCTAATGAGGTATGGACTATGTATAATGAAGATGTCCTAATAAGGTATGAACAATGTATAATGAAGATGTCCTAATAAGGTAAGAACAATGTATAATGAAGATGTCCTTATAAGGTAAGAACAATGTATAATGAAGATGTCCTAATAAGGTATGAACAATGTATAATGAAGATGTCCTTATAAGGTAAGAACAGTGTATAATGAAGATGTCCTTATAAGGTAAGAACAATGTATAATGAAGATGTCCTAATAAGGTATGAACTGCGCATAATTAATTGAAGATATCCTTATGATATATGAACAATGTACGAAGAAAATGTCCTGATTAAGTATTGCACGTGACGACACACGGATCCATGATGTTGATAGTTCTGTGAGATTGTGTACGGAATTGTGTACGAATTACTGGTTGTTTGAGTTGCAATATTTCCTTGTCTTGAAACGGGTGAAATATTATAGATGATTTATATTTTATTGTCAATTGATAAGTAAAATTGAATATATAATGTAAATAATAGATTTATACATCTATATAACATTATATACGTATAACACACTATACAAATAACAACTAATGAAATAAAATAATGGAATGGTTTGGGAATATCACTTTATTTTGTTCTTGATATGTTTTTGAATATTTTACGGTTAAAATGTTATCAGCACATGCTCTCAATTTAGGTTCAATATTGGGTTTGAGTCAGTATACATACTAATTACAATTTATTTCCAAAATTGTTTGACAAAAAAATCATGAAACGTATTATGTAGTGATAAATGCATAACTACATCTGAAAAGGTTTCGAAAATACAACCATTATTTAATCTGAGTTTGAATCGTAACAATAATGGCAAAATAACTTCATGACGAAATAAACAATTTGTGTTTGTTGAATATGAATTCCAGATACACCTGTTGATTTTGTCACCAGTTTATCGCCCATATGTGATTGTACGCTGCTTGAAGGGGGTAACGGCAGTCAAAATGATAGGATTCCTTACACACGGGCATTGTCTGCAGATCATCCTATATAGCGAAATTACATGTGTTTTTCGGCGACAAAATGTGAACAAGTTTAAGTGATTCCATATTCAGCCTATTTAATTCTAGTAAGGATTGAAATGTAAGAGAGTGACGTCCTTGATATGTCAAACTCAATATCACGATTCCAACAACTATAATCCTAGAGCTGTTAAGAAACAATATTTGCCGAGGTTAGGCGCTATCCTTTGGCGTATCAGCTTTTTTTTTGATGAATTAAGTTTTAATTAATACGACTTTGGTGAAACATCGTTACCTCATATTTGTGTTTAACGAGGTATTGGATTGATCGAAGATGCACCAAGTGACAAAATAGAAAACAGTTAGATAAATTACGTTTTAAACGAATTTCATAATATATAAATAGATTTTTAAATCTAATATTAAATTGCAATGTAGGAGTTTTATTTTTGTGATCATACTCAAAATAGAGGTTTAGTTCACATTAAGTGTAACCCAACCTACATATTTCTCATAAGATATCCAGCAGAGTGAAAAACCATTACAATACAATTGTGTAAACATTGGTCCAAATTGTTACTATCTCTACACTATCATTATATAGATGTTGGTGTAGATAGTGACCATCTCTACGCTCTACCATTATATAAATGTTGGTGTATATAGTGACTTTATCTACACTCTATCATTATATAGATGTTGGTGTATATAGTGACTAT